AAGCTTGCCTACCATTTACTTTCCGTGTTTTCGTATGAGTTTCTAGGTTCTCATGAACACACGGGTTTTGTTTTAAGTTGGTGGGTTTTATTCCAATCTTTAGAGCTTTGGGAAACACTCAAATCACCCTATAACTACACGTAATCCCTAAATCAAACCCTAAATCATTTAATCAAAATAGAGTACAAGATCCACTAACACATGCTAACGAGCATATGATGGATGGAAACGATCATGAGGCAATTGGGTTTTCGGAATCATGGGAAGGATATACGTCATAACCTCTTTGTTATTTTGTCCTCCTCCTAACAAATTTATCTATGCTTGACATCACCGGGTTTTCGGACACCATACCGAAGCTAATTGAGGTTTATCAAAATTGACATCACCGGGTTTTCGGACACCACTCTTCAACGCTCTCCAACAGGATCAACAAAGATATGACTTTAATTTAATCAAAACCCGAAACTAAAACATATCAATCTACAAAAAAGAATTAACCTTTCTCTACAAAAATATACAAAAGAAAAAACAATCAATATATCAACGGACATAAAAGGAAATCACCTATAATGGAATGAAAGGAAAATTACCTATGATGGGATTAGATCTTAACGTCTCGGATTCCTAGTAGTTTGTTGATGATGATAGGATGAAAGCACCGATAAAAAAAGATAAAAAAAAGAACGTGTTTTTTGTTTCGGTAGAAATAGTAGAGATTGTTTTTCGGTTGATTTGTATAGCTAAAGTTATAAAATATATGAGGGCTATATAGTCATATTTAAAAAGTTTTAAAAATTTTTCAACCGAGCGTATTAATCAAAAAGTAATAAGTTAAAAATTTTAACTTACCCGATTAAGTAGATTTTGACTGAACTTAAACTTTTAATATGAGATTATTTAGGTTATCAAACAAACTTGTTATATTAAGTACTATAACTTAATTTTTTAAGCTACTTAATTAGGTTATCAAACACCCTTGATCTTAAATGTATTTTATGTATGTTTGTTATTTTATATTTAATTTATATTTTTAATTATCTTGAATTTATTTTATGCATTTTTTTCAGTTTTATATTTAGATTTTAATGTTTAAATTTTCTATAATTATTTTAATTAATGTAATTTTAACCTTGAATTTATTTTATGTATGTTTGTTATTAATTTATATTTCAGTATTTAAATTTTCTATAATTTATCTAATTAATGTAACTTTAATTTATTTGCTTAGTAATTAAACTCGGTAATTATTTTCATTTACCGAGTCTAATTACTAAGCGGAGGATTGTCAAGTGTCTTAATTCTTTAGAGACCGATGACGAACTTTTTAGGGACCGATGATAATCTTCCACTAATTAAAAAAAATCATAAAACCTTTAACAAAATCTCTTATCTAATCGGGACCGTTATTAGCAAAACAAAATTAATTATTTATTTTTAGTCATTTAGAATGTTCTCGACACATCGGTTGTTTTGAAACTCAAAAAGTAAATCCGATATTTGAATTGATGTATCTCTCGACCAAAGGATTCGACAATTAATTCAATAAGATGCCACAAACAAATATATATATATATATATATATATATATAAAAACTTAGTTTTGAAAATAAAGAACTTGGAATTTAGACAAGGATTATTTTTTATTAAAAAAAAGTTTTCTTTCGAGAGACAAATTTTAAAACTAAACCGGACATGATACCTTTCTTAGGAAAAGACGTTTTTTAAGTGATTAAATATCTTCTAAAAAACACAATCAACTCCTTACTCTAGAATCTCTAAACCAACATCTATCTTAGGTTCCTAGTTTCTTCAATACTAGGTGGCGATTTCAAACTTATAAATTTTTTAAAAATCTCGTTAGACGTCGGGTAACGATAGATCAAAACATCATCTATGTAAATCGAAGTCCTTTATTCAATACTAGCATATAGTAAAGGTCAATTGGTTTGCTTTGATTTTTGAATCATGGTGTGGTGGGTGTTTTAGGATTTTGAAAGAGCATTGTTATTGGAGGGTGAGTTTGATTTTGATAAGTCGGTTTTTATTTAGGGATTTTAAAAGAACATTATTTTTTTTTCTTTTTTCTTAAAGAAAGCTTACAATTTTTCTTTTGAAAAATTCAATCGATTTAATATAATTATGTGAAAATAATTAAAAATCAAAAGCAGCCTTTTGTCAAGTTTATTTAGCTATTTTCCATCAAATATGAAACTTCTCTACAACTGTAAGGGTAACATTGAGAAAATTTAAATCCAAGGGGGTAGAAGTCAAACATTTTGAAAACCATACGGACAAACAAATAGTTTATCCTAAAATAATTCCTGAGATTTTATCCAATTCATTAAACATGAGATGATTTTTTAACATAGTATTAAAATCATAATGCAAGAATATCGCGAGTTGTTGAAATTTTCTTATAATTTCTGATTTATTTTTATTTTTAATGGTCCTTTACAGGGGGAGCTTGGGGATTTTAAAACAGCTTAATAGTCAACTCGATCAAGGGATTCAATTATGATTTTCAAAATTAAAATGACTACTTTACAAAATTACAAAACATATCTTCAGCCCTGTCAGGAAATTATTTATATTCTCATTATCCAGCCTACTTGAAAAGAAAAAAGATGCTTGCTTGCGTAAGACAACCCTTTTGTTATTTTTGTTACATGAAAAATAGTTATTCTTATAGGGATTTTACTACATGCTGATACTTTGAAAGTAAAAATATTTCCATTAGCATTTTATTTTTTCATAATTGTTTTAAATTTGATCATTTTTTAATTTAATGATTTTTTCTTTGATTTACCACTTTAATTTTTGATAGATTTTTTCCTTTAATTACTATTGGTTCAATGTAATATAAAATTAAATTTGATAACTAATAATTTTAACAAATAAGATATTTTAAAATATATATATATATGAATAAAAATAATGATATGGCATATCAATTAATAACTTTTTAAAATTATGTAAAAAATCAAAGGAGACAATCTTCTTTAGATTAGAGAAAGTATTCTTGGCTTGGTTCACATTTATTTATGAAACCCCACTTCTTTTTCTTTATCACATCATTGATGGTTTGAGTTTGGAATCGCATGGTAAATCCAATCAGTATTGGAATGTAGATCACATAAAAATTGAAAGTTGCGTTGGATTAAAATCTAATAGGAACTCAAAATTCGGCACATGAAGTTTTTTACTAGGGAATTTATTGTTTTCTTGCTAAGTGCATCTTTGAGGTTTATTTATAGTTTCAGTCGCTCTTGGTTGTGTCAGCTGTTCTATATTGCCGTCCGAATTCGATTTTCGCTGGTTTTTCCCCAAGTTGCTTAATTTCTTAGCCTACAAGAATCTCTCTTAATCATATCGTTTCTAATATAGTAATGTTTCTTATCAAAATAAAGAAAAAGAACATGATAAATTTGGTATTTTATGTACTCTAATACTTATTTTAAAAATATTTTTGGTATTTTATCTCGTATAAAATTAAATTAAATGAAGAGAAACCAGCTTATAAATCTCGAATGAAGCTAGTTTGCAATCTATCAAGTCAAATTAGAATGCAAATTGTAAGGTTAATTAGTGATGGACGCAGGACCAAATGTCTTCGGATGCCAAAATAAATGTTTATAAATTTTTCATGATTTATACAAACTTATATATATATATATATATAACATACAAGTATATATTTTAAAATAATCTCAAAATACAATCATTTAAAATAGATATTCGTTCTTTCAAGTCATGATAAAAATAAATAGAAGAATTTGATTCCTCATTAGAGTTTGAAATGACAACATTCTTTCATTTAAAAGATGCATCGATAGTATGTGACTTTTTCATTCACATATGATTATGATTAAAATAATTGAAGATATTTTTTAGTAACCATTAATGAAAAAAGAATGATTATTTGTAAATTGTAATATTGCATTCTTATTGTTATAGCTCCTTTCGTTTTTTGGTTTTTTAATCTCCGGGTCTATAATTACAAGTACAACAATAACATAAAATTTCAAGATCAATAGTACAATTTTAATTTAAGTAGATAGATTATCAAAATTTTACTAAGTTATGGATCCAATATTCCAATAGATACCTTAATTACATAAAATAAAATTAGAAAGACAATCGATCTAATATTTTAATTATAAAATATTATTTAAAAAAAATTGGGAGTTGTCAAGATTCAATCAATATATAAAATGAAAAAATTAATAAATTAATAATGTAAATAATATAATAAAAGTTAATAAATTACTGATTTTTTGAGAAAATACCTACTATGTTGTTGAATAAGAAAAATCCAGATCGGAAAGAAGGTTTTTTTTTTTAATGTTTTGAATAAAATAAGAGTTAAGGAAACTGAAAGAACGAATGAGTTTATTAGTGATAGGAGGTAGCTGGATCAAATTAAACAAATATTAAGAGTTTAGTAGTGATTGGGTTTGTCTTATACTAGTATAGGAAGAGGAAAAAAAATCAAAGGGGGGGGGGGGGGGTGGTTGGGGCGCATTGCACATAAGGTGCGTCCTTCCCTGAGGTTCACAACAATGATGGTTTGAAGCCAATAATCTAAATATTCCAATAAAAAAACTTACATTCATGCTATTGACTCTAAAATCACACAACAGTAACCAACAATTAATGATAAAATTACAAGCTGAAAAACATACGAAACAGCCCCTTTCTTATTTAAAAACAAGCTCATGAATAAAAAGTTAGAAGCCAGAAATAAGGACACAAAACCAACCTTATATGCCGGTATGTTCACACTAGAACATGACCAAGTAAAGCATACAGCAGGAACTATTGATCACAAAATGCAATCCAAGATAATGGTGCACACAACTCCAAGGGACACAAAGCACAAAGCGTCTTAGCGAATTAAACATCTAGGCAGGTAGAGGTAACAATTGTCAAAAGCACAATTTGCTTACAACTAGGACGTACCTTCCACAAACAGAGACACTACTTATAGCACACCTTTATTAATTTTCCATTTCTAGCTTATGCCACTCTTCAATTGGAATCCACATGCCCATTGCTAGATGTCTTTCAGCTTCAATATGATAAATATTTCTAACTCCATTCTCTTGCACAGCCATAGTTAACCTCACTCTATCTCCTTGCCTTAGCCTTTTCTGACGAGCATAAAGCCCCCATTCACCGGATATCCATGGTTTTGGATATCCCTTCTTGCGAATGGAGATTTTAAGACTCCATGATTGCCCTAGCATGTCCAACGCATCAAAGTGGACTTGCTTGTTATCAGCAGAAATGGGGAACCCTCCTAAGCTCCTAGATGGAAATTCGAGTCGATCATTGGTTGCGTCGCTCTCCGATAGCAACTTGCTCATCACCTCCACATGGTCCATTTCTAGTGAACCAAAGCTAGCTGAATAAAATGTAAGAGAAGCTATTACATGGTGAAGTAATGTTCGGAGAATTTTAAGTAGCTAGATTTAGATTTTAGATTTTAGATAGGGTTTGTATTTATAGTGATATGGAGCAATAGACTAGGCTAATGCTCAGTACACTCCTCTGCTCTTTTTTGAGTAAATTATAATTATAAATCCCTCTAGTGAGAAATAAATTAATTATTATTTTTTTTATTTTTTAAATTTTTTTGTAATTTAATTTTTATCACTCTTTTTCAATTTATCTTGATTTTTTATTTTAAAAATATAAAAGGATTGATAGAAAAAAATAATATTTTATGAAATTAAATAATATTAAATTAAAGTTGATTGATCGAGATATTAAATTATTAATTTTTAAACAAGATTACAAAGGACACATTCTTTGTCGGAAAAAGAGGAGAAGATTGTTGTCTGCTACTCCATTTCCATTTTTGTTTTTTGTTTTTTTGTTGGATATAAGGGACGGCTGAAAGATCCCAGGGAACAAGATTACATAGGACAAATTCTTGTACACATTTTTTGTCACGAAAAGAGGAGAAGATTTCTGTCCCCCAATATTCCACCAGTACAAAATTCTTCTTTAATTTCCATAACTAGAGAACAAACAAAAAAAATGGTGATTGCTGAAATAACTTCAAGTCATTGATTCTTTCATTTCTTTTCTTTTTGTTGTAGAATAAGTAAATTGCTTTGTGTAAATTAAATTATATTTATCTAATTCAGCTAAAATATAAATTAAATTTTACCGAAGTCATGGTAATTTGAAATCTTGGTAGAAAAAACCCGAAATTAGTCACATACATCATTCTTTTAAGCCAATGTGAAACAATCAAGCTCCCACACATGCTGCATCGAAGAGTGTTTACAGATGTAAAACAGAATATGCAAACTGTACGTCTGAATCTGGTATTCATTTGTATATAAAAATTTGAACAGAAGTAGCAGATATGCACACTTAAAATTCCATTGTAAGATGTCATATTTTACATATAAAAAACCTGTCGATAAAAAATATGTTCGATGGTAACAAAGAAGAAGAAAAACATATGCTATTTTGAAAGTTTCTACAACGACAAAAGTTTGGGGGATTCAAGAAAGGCCACGACGAAACGAACCACTTATCATTATCGATGGATGCGAAACAAAACATTTATCATTATCGATAGATGTCAAATGGAAGTGCAAGACAAGCCGAGACGAACCATTTGTCATTGTTGATAGATGCGAAACGAAACATTTATCATTATCGATAGATGTCAAATGGAAGAGCAAGACAAGCCGTTTATCAGGATCGATATATGTCAAGTAGAAATGCAGTGATATAAAGGGAAATCGACAAAGGGAACTGCGATTTTCAAGGAACTAGAAAACAGATTAAGAGAACATTTGGATACACATATTTTTAGTGAAGACAGAGAGGCTATATGATTAAGCAAGAAAATGAGAACGTAGAGTCTTAGTAAAATGGGTTAGATTCTGTTTATCAAACGATGACCGAAAATGACAGTGACTTATCCAAGTTGGAAAGTGATGACTGAAGATGAAAGTGACCTTGATGACAATTGCAAAAATGCAAACCGTACATCTGAATTGGTGATCATTACTATCTAAAATTTGAGCACAAACACCAGCAGATCATATGCTTATTTACAATTCTATTGTACGGGGTCATATTTTAAAAGAGAAAAAAAAATTGATAAAAAATATTTTAGATGGTAATCAAGAATAAGAAAACATCTAAAACCAATTAGAACAACCAGTTGTCTGCTTGAAGGTAATAAAGAATAGAGCAGAAGAAGAAAGCAGATTGTGGGCTATATTGTTTTGGTGCTAAGTGCACCTTTGAGGTCTTTTATAGTTTGGGTCCTACCTGGTTTTGTCGGATATGTGGGCTATATTGCCGTCCAATTAACTTTGGTTTGATTTGGCATAATTTTTAATTTTCTCCAATTTTAGTTCAATTTCTTTGTCTACTATGATAAATGATTTTCATCCATTGCTTATAAGAAGTTGAAAAAAAAAACGTATTTTATTTGAACCCACAAACATAAAATTATAAGCTAAAAAACTCATACTAGCATACCTTTTTTAGGAACAAAAACCAGAAATTAATACACAAGTACTTGGAAGTGAAACAAGGCCAAGCTAGTAGGGATTACAAAAGTACAATGATAACTACAAAGTACAAAGCCACTAGGCAACTAAATACCAAAATTACACCAACAAGACGAAACATCAAGGCAGAAAGAAGCAACAACTCTAGAAGGGACGACTTTGTTTGACTTTAACTTGCATAAAAAAGAAACATAGAGCACACCTTAATTATTCCCATTTCTAATTTGCCACTCTTCAATTGGAATCCATATGCCCATCGTCAGGTTTCTTTCAGCTTTGATACGATAACTCCTGACACCGTTCTCTCTCACTTGCATAATCAACTTAACTCTATCGCCTTTCTTCAGCCCTTTGTCAAGAACATAGCGCCGCCATTGGCCAGACATCCAAGGTTTCTTATGTGTTCCCTCATTGCGAACGGAGATCTTGAGTTCCCGTGGCTGGCCTACCATGTCCACTGCAACAAAATTAAAATAATTTTGATCTGCAGGCATGGGAAAGTTGATCAGGCTTTTCGTCGGAAATTCAAATCGCTGATTTGTTGCATCACTATCGGATAACAGTTTTTCCATTACCAGTTGATCCTCGCACTCCATTTTCACGAGATTAAAAGCGCTGAGAAAAATGTATAGAAGTTGTTTTTTTTTTTTTTTTTTTTTTTTGGAGAAAGTTTTGGAAGGTTTTTTTGGTTTGAAAATAGAAGAGGTAGTGATCGGCATTTATAGCAGTCAGAGCAATGCTAGCAGCCTGAGTCTCTCTCGATCATATTTACTAGGATTTTCTTCGTTGCTTGTCGAGCTCGTAAATGGATCGTTCGAAATCCCAATTTCTTTGCTGAAAAAGAACAAGTGGCCACCATGATATCTCTTTATTTCGGCAGCTAGTGAGCGCAGTATGTTAGATTCTGTTTGATTTATTTTATTACACTAGGACTGAAATGACAATGATTGATCAAGTTTGAAAATGATTACTTGAATCGAAAGTCATCTCGATCCCAAGAAAAGAAACAATTAATTGTTCATTCTTCAAAAGGTGCTTTTTTTTTTTTTTTACATGAAATCTCCAAAAAGTGCTTAATAAATTTGAAAGAGAAAAACATTGGTCACGTCACTTGTCTCGTTTTCAACTCATTAATTTGGACCAATCAAGCTTCCAAATATATGTTCTATCTAGAAGTATCATAAAAAAAAATATGTGTGCAAAATTCATGACTACTTGGTTTAAAAAGTTTATATATCATGACAAATAATCACTTGATTAGGTGTAAAGCTCAAGGAATTAATGCTCCAAGAGATGGTTTTATTATATTCTCTAATAGTATAGTATCATGTATTAGAAAAAAATATCCATTAAAAATACTTTAGATTGTAACAACGGATTAAAATCTCTTTGCTACATTTGTTTTTCTTTTCATTTGGGTTGTTAACTGACATAGGAGAATCTCCATATAATCAAGGGATACCCTAGAAAGTAGATTAAAAAAAATGATTAGGGAGTCTCTTTTGAAGAAATTACAAGCCCTCGCCCATGATTCATGGACAATGTTCTTCATTTTCTCAAAATAGAATGAAAGGGATCTCTCCGTTTTTGACCTAGTCAAATTATAAATTGACAACAACAAAAAGGTGATAGGACTAAAAGCGAATCAAAAGAATAAAACACGATTAAGCAACCTAGATCCTTTTTTTCTTTTTAATGATTCCAGTTTTAAGACATTGTCCATTTCTCCACATTGATAAATACTAATTGGTAGATACAAATCATATATATAAAACATGCTTCAACTTGCGAGAAATCAAGCGAGCCACCATAATGCAGAAAAGAATATGGAAAAGCGTCCATAGACTATATGTGTGATCTAAATGTCTATATCCAGATAATTCAATAGTAATATTACAGAGTTTCAAACAATTGAAATTAGGGATAACCTCAACAAAGTAGAACACCAGATCGTATGCTTACTTAAAATTCTATTGTACGGGGTCATATTTTAGGGGGGAAAAAATCATGATAAAAAATAATTTAGATGGTAATCTCGAGAATAAAAAAGAAAAAAAAACATTTGGTTATTTTTTAAAAATTCCGATAGTGCAATATCCATAAAGGGATGTGCATGCAATTCCTACCGAACTAGAAATTAATTATAGACCAGCAAGCAAATCTTTTTTATATATAGATTACATAGAACTTGAAAGTTGTGATGGATTAAAATCTCACAGGAAAGCAGAATGGGGCACATGAAGTTGGTTCAGGTACCAATTAGGGAAGCCAGTTGTCGGCTTGAAGGTAATAAAGAATAGAATAGAACAAGAAAGCAGATTGTGGGTTATATTGTTTTGGTGGTCAGTGCATCTTTGAGGTTTTTAATGGTTTGGGTCCTGCCTGGTTTTGTCGGATATGTGGACAATATTGCCGTCCAATTAACTTCGATTTAATTTGGCAAAATTTTTAATTTTCTCTAATTTTAGCCAACTTCCAGGTATATTCTAATGAATCATTCTCATCCATGTCTTATAAGAAGTTAATAAAATAAAATAAAATAAGTATTTATTTTATTTTTACCCACAAAGATAAAATTATAAGCTAAAAAACTCATACTAGTATACCCTTTTTTAAAGAACAAAAATCAGAAATTAATACACAAGTACTTGGAAGTAGATTGTGGGCTATATTGTTTTGTTACTAATTGCATGTTTGAGGTTTTTATGGTCTGAGTCCTACTTGATTTTGTCAAATGTGGACTATATTGCAGTCCAATTAATTTTGGTTTAATTTTTTGGCATAATTTTTTATTTTTCTCTAATTTTAGCTCCTTTTCTTGGTCTGTTGGAGTCTTTCTTATAATCAATAATTCTCATTTAATAGCTTAACATTTTGATTTGAAATGATCATTTGACAAGTAAAACCTATCATGTCGGAGGTAGAACAAGACCAATCTAGTAGTGATTGCAAAAGTTCGAAGCCACTAGGCAACTAAAGACCAAAATTATAACAACAAGACTAAACATCAAGGCAGAAAGAAGCAACAATTCTCGAAAGGGCAACTTTTTTGACGTTAAATTCCATAAAAAGGACATACAGCAGATGTACTTTAGATTGTAACAAATCATTAAAATCTCTTTGCTACCTTTTTTTTTGGTTTCTGGAAGGTAGATTAACCGAAAAAATTAGTTAATGATCAGGCAGTCTCTTTCGAAGAAAATACAAGCCCTCACCAATGATTCATGGATATTCTTCATTTTCTCAAAATAGAATGAAAGGGATATCTCTTTTTCACCTAGTCAAATTTTGAAGTGATGAATTGAGTAAAAGCGAATGAAATATCTGAGAATACAACATGATTAAACGACCTAGAACCTTTTTCTTTCTAAGGATTCCAATTTTAAGGCATTGTCAATTTCTCCGCTATGATAAATAGTAGTTGGAAGAAATAAATTATCAAAAAATAAAAATAAAAACACTACAACTTGCGAGAAATCAAGCAAGCTATCATCATGCAGAAAAGAATACGCACAAGAGTCATAGACTATAAATGTGATGTCATCTTCTTTATCCATGTAAGTCCGTAGTCATATGAGAGAGTTTGACACAATTGGAATTTTGATCACCTCAACAAAGTCGATCCCCAAATCCGGATAACCCTTTTCTCAATTGAATCCCAAATCTAAACTTTTTATCAATTAGATCCCCAATGCATCTTAGAATCCTCAATCTGATCCCTCTATCAACAAAATATACCTAACGTTTTCTATAGGTTGGGGACTCAATAGACAAAAGGATTAGGCACATTTGTTGATGGAAGGATCCAATATTTGGGAATTCTTGAATTCACTGGGGATCCAATTTGTTAGAATTATAGGTTAGGGCCATAACTTAAAAACAAGCTCTAGATTTAGCAAGAAGTAATTTATGCTCGAGTTACAAATAAAATTCAACTTCCCCACTTTGAACCAGAAATTATGACCACTAACGTCCAAGTCATGTATGGGTCACAGAAAACATTTCATATATAGTTCATGATTTGTCATTAATTGGAGGTATTGGAATTTTCTTCTGATGATATCCAGCATTAATATATATTTTCAACTCATTATACAACGTATTTCTGTTATTTATTTTTCATTGTTTGTTTGCATCCCTATTAGGATGAAATGTAAAAATAAAAAAAATAAAAAGTGACGTGATTGATGAAAAAATAATTAGATGATGACCAAAATTGAAAAAATGAAAGCATGGACGACCAAGCCAAATTTTATCCACAGCCCCCAAAAAAAATCGCTATAAAAATCTCATTTTCTCTCCTGCTACAGGGCAGCCACTTTTCACTTCTCAAGATACATTCAGATCAACACTATTCTCTTCCTAAAAAGAGTTTGTAATAAAAAAATAGTTTTTAATAAAAAAAAAAGTTTTCATTTTTCATAAAATAATAACAGAGAAACAAATGTGAATAGGATATAAAACAACGAGTATGGGTTAGATAAATAAATAGATAAATAATTTTTAATAAATAATAAATAAAATAACAAGTATAATGTTTTTTACTGATTTATTTATTACGCTAGGACTGAAATGACAATGATATATCGATCGAAGTTTGAAAATGATTACTTAATCGAAAAGTATCACGAGAAAAGAAATGATTAATTGTTCATTCTTCAAAAAGTGCTTTTTTTTTTAATGAAATCTTCAAAAAGTGCTTAATAAATTTAAAAGAGAAAAACATTGGTCATATCACTTGTCTCGTTTTCAACTCATTAATTTGGACCAATCAAGCTTCCAAATATATGTTCTATCTAGAAGCATCATAAAAAATATATGTGCAAAACTCATTAATTGGTTTAAAAAGTTTATATATCATGACCAATAATTACTTGATTAAGTCTAAAGCTCAAGGAATTAGTACTCCAAGAGATGGTTTTATTATATTCTCTAATAGTATAGTGTTAGAAAAAAAATTCAATTAAAAATACTTTAGATTGTAACAACGGATTAAAATCTCTTTGCTACATTTTTCTTTTCTTTTCTTTTGGGTTGGTAATTGACATAGGACGATATCCATATAATCAAGGGATACCCTAGAAACTAGGTTAACAAGAAGAAATGATTAGGGAGTCTCTTTTGAAGAAATTACAAGCCCTCGCCCATGATTCATTTTCTCAGCATAGAATGAAATGGATCTCTCTTTTTGACTAAGTCAAATTATAAAGCGACAACAACAAAAGGGTGATAAGTCGACAAAAAGCAAATCAAATGTTTAAGAATACAACACGATTAAACAACCTAGATCCTTTTTTCTTTTTAGTGATTCCACTTTTAAGATATTGTCAATTTCTCCACTTTGATAAATAGTAATTGGTAGATATATATATATAATACTACATCTTGCGAGAAATCAAGCAAGCCACCATAATGCAGAAAAGAATATGGATAAGAGTCCATAGAGTATATATGTGATCTAAACTTCTTAATCCGGATAATTCAATAGTAATATTACAGAGTTTGAAACAATTGAAATCAGGGATAACCTCAACAAAGTTATGCTTACTTAAAATTCTATTGTACGGGGTCATATTTTAGGGGAAAAAAATTCATG